CAGTAACGGCGCGTTTGACGAGCGATGAGGTAATTATTACACTATTTATGAATGGACACAGGCTGAGTGGCATGTGAATGGGGGTAACACATTCATGATGTAATTTACTACATGAGAGTGGGCAGCACGCTTTTGGGGCGACTCACCCGCTGTCGGTAGCACTAGTTTTAAATCTAGGCCACTGGATCGATTATAACAACAACAAATCTAGGCCGAGAAGACTAACTGAATGTAGGGTTAGACGAGTGGCACATACTTAATTAGGGATGCTCACAGCTGAGCTGTGATTGGCTTTGGATAGACAGAGTTTATTATAATATTTGAGGTCCTTGACTTTGGGGTGAGTTGATGCATGGTTAGTCCGTTATTGTTTATAACATTACGGGGGGGGGGGGGGGGGGGAGCTGATGGAGTTAACTGGGGTATCTGACTTTGAAATGAGCTGCAAAGTAAATTAAAACATGATGCATATTAAAATGAAGTTTAAATAATTACTGTAATATTATAACGCAGACATAACACCCGTCAACAACGAAAACAACATATATGTTCTTTAAATTGTTATGTCTAACAGCTGTTCTCCCTCTATTCAAATAAAGCAAATCGGTATTCTCTTTGATTAGCTAATAACTTCATCGTATATAAATGATGGTTAACACAAATTCCACCTCCCTGAGCTTTCCCTAAGCTAGGGCAAAGTCGGCCAATGAGAAAGTCGGAAAGTCGACTAAACGTTTTCGTCAAACTCTAACTCGACTGTGACTCTGACTTTGACCTTGACTTTAGAGTGAAGCTACGACTTCCTATGCTGTCATAGCCAAGACAGGGTCATAGGTTTTAGGCTGACTAGTTCTATTTTTAGCTCTTCGACTCCGGTCTTCGGATAACAAACGTGGGGTTTTGGAATCGAGTGGCATTGGCGCTTTACTTGTTACTTCCCTAAAAAAATAGTGAAAAAAATTGCTAAGAACAATCCTTGGTCTTTTCATCATAACCGTAGGCCTATTTGGTTGCTTTTGTTGTTGTTGTTGGGTTTTTGGAATTTGAACAAAGCCAACAAAATAAATGAAGACAGCCAAGACAATCATTAGTTTCACAGTAATTGATCTAGTGACGGTGACTGGGACTGACATGCCGGCACTTCATGGCAAGCAGGCCAGCCAGCCTCTCACTTCATCTGCAGGGTTGGGGATTTTGTAATAATCGTGTAAAAAATTTTTAACAGATTTTTAAAATTTAAATCAGATTTTTTATATTTCTTAAAAAATGTCGACACAGTTTGGAATTTTTAGTGGCTAAAAGCATGTTCTTTTAGTGCAAAATGCATTGTCTTTATTTATTTAATAACTAATGATTAATTTAAGCAACTGCAAAAGAAAGCCTTAATCTGCAATATCTGTTAATTATTCATGGCTGCAGTCTGTGTGTGGGTGTGTGTGTGTGTGTGTGTGCGCGCGCTTGTGTTTGTCTAAAAAAAAATAAAAAATGCTAATTTCACTTATGAAAGAAAAAGTAAATTGAATACTGTATTATTTTAGTGACAGGGGGGAAAACAGACTTTTAAGCATGATTATATTAGTCTACTAAGCCTGTTTTATAAAACTAAGGAAAGAAATTCTGAATGTTTAAATATGTGTAAAACCTAAATACATTTTATTAAAGTGATTTAAATCACTGATTTTTGGTCAAAAAATCAAGTTGATTTACATCTTAAAAAATCAACTGATTTAAATCAACCTAACTCTGATTTCAATTATAAAAAAAGTGAATTGAATATACTGTATTATTTTAGTGACGGGGGAAAGCAGACTTTTAAGCATGATTATATAGTCTACTAAACCTTATATCTGTTTTATAAAACCAAGGAGAGGAATTCTGAATGTTTCAATGTGTAAAAACTGAATTAAAAAAATATTTTAAAAAGCGATTTAAATCCTTGATTTTTATTTTAAAAATCAAGATGATTTAAATAAAAAAAATCAACTGATTTACATTGACCTGATTTAAATCAACCCAACCCTGTTCATCTGTTGATACTATTAATAGGCCGAGGGCCTAGATCTTGATCAAAACTTTTTTTTCTTGGCTTGCTCTAACTTCGCCGCACCCACCACTAGCGTTGACGACTCCCCATTGAAGGGCAGGGGAGGCTGGTCTTGATCAAGGCTAGGCTAGGTAACCGAGAGTCGAGAGTCACGAGCGACTGGGAGATGAGGGTCATAGTGTTGACCTTGGGCTTAAAGTCGACTAGTAAAGTTGATTTTGCCCTGGCCTAGCTTTTCCTGATCTGCTCTACACTCTTGCGCTTGTTGTATTCTCGACTTTCCTCATCTCTTGACTTACTTGACTCCTCAGACTATTTTTTTTCTTTGCCTTTCACATTATTTTTTTACGTTTTACGATCCGTTGTTTCTCTATTGAGGTCTCTATATATATATCTCTCTCTCTCAGGAAATCTGCATATAATTCATTTTGTTGCATTGTTGCATAAAGTTTAATTGGCTGATTGCTCTACATTGTCCATTTCTGTTGTTTGTTGTTGTAATTTACTCTTTGTAACTTAAGAACTTGTTATTTAGGAAATGTTTGCCAAGCCAAGTTTAAGTTTAGTATGGAAATTGATAACACAAAAGAGTGGCGGTGTTGGCGGTTCCAAGATTGCTGTGTGTGATGTATACAAATGTGAGGTGGCCTACTCGGGAAGATCAACTACAAATCTGCTCAGGCATTTGAGGAAAAAACATCCTCTCCACCTTGCTCAATTTGAGGAAGTGAGTGAAAGCTCATCGACTACAAGTGTTCCCACTGCTGCCTCTTCTTTGACTACTCACAGCTCTGCGCCCACAGCTGGTCCAAGTAGGTCTACACAAACAACTCTGTTCGACACCATAGAGAGTCACAAAGCATAAACCAGGGAGTGACAGAAAGAAGGAACAAGACATCTGTGCTGGATCTGGTTACAGTCGACCTACAACCTCTTTCAGTGGTAGAAAATACAGCGTTTCGGCAACTGGTGAACAAGCTGGATCCTCGCTACGACATTGTCTCAAGGAAAACCTTGTCAACTCAACTGCTACCTACAAAATATCGAGTGGAAAGAGATCAGCTGAGGAGACTGATGGACGAAGTAAAGCGTCTCACTGTCACCACAGACTGCTGGATGTCATGAAAAACTTCGTCCTACATGACAGTGACCTTGCATTTTGTCTCCCCTGACTGCAAGCTAACGTCTAGAGTTCTCAACACGGTGTTGCTGGAGACAACTCACACTTCCGAAAACATCGCTGCTAAGGTCTTAGAAATTTTTACAGTTTGGGGAATAAAGGACAAAGTGACTACCATTTTCACGGACAACGCAGCCAACATAAAGCTCGCTGTTGAGTTAGTGAAATATTGACATCAGCCATGCTTTGCCCACACTCTCAACTTCATTGTCCAGGAATCCATCAGAAAGACGTGTGTTCACAGCTAAAAACAAGGTGAAAGACTTGATTTCATTTTTCCACCACAGCGTCAACGCCAGTAATTCTCTCAAAGAGGCCCACAAAGCTAAAAACACGACACAGAGAAAGCTTAAACAGGACGTGGAAACTCGCTGGAACAGCACCTTCGAGATGCTCAAGTCATACTTGGAGCTGCCTGAGCAGGTGACCACAACCCTGTGTCTGAATGGCAAGCAAGACATGTGTCTGAGCCCCATCGAGTTGCCAGTGTTACAGAAGGCAATGGAGATCTTGGAACCATTTCTCCAGGCAACAGTAGAGATATCGACAGAACAACACACCTCTGTTGCAAAGATCATCTTCCAATGGTGTTCCTTTTGTGCAGATTGACAGCCCAAGACAAATCACCCCTCAGCAACTGCCTAAACTCTCAGCTGAACCAGCGTTTTTAAAACATCGACGAGAAGACGCATCTGAGGCTTGCTAAGCTTTTGGACCCCAGTTTCAAGCAAGATGGTTTCCCTATAACATCATCATCCACCTCTGCTGTGGACAAACTAAAGGACACCGCCATGCCCATTGCGCTGCCACAGCCACCAGGACAAACAACAGCAAGCGAGGAAGAAGCAACAGCTCCACTACCTGCTAAGAAAGTGTCGAAGCTCTGGACACAGTTTGACCAAGCGGTCAAAGGCAAACAGACTGGTGTGCCCAGAGTAGCAGGAGTAGAGATGGAAATCCGCCTCTACCTGGACAGTGACATGATGCCACGGGACTCCAACCTTCTGACTTGGTGGAGAGAGAACGTGATTTCGTCACCAAGGATCAATCGCATTGCTAAAGATGTTCTTGCGATTCCAGCCACGTCAGTCCCCAACGAGAGGCTCTTTTCGAAAGCGGGTGAGCTCATCTCGGCCAGAAGGGGACCTTTGAAGCTAGCCAATGTGGACATGGATTTGTTTTTGAACAGTGCAACACGTTTTTGAATTTTTTGTTGTTTGTCATGCTTATTTTGATACTCTGCATTACTGAATATAATATAACGTGTGTATGTGTGTGTGTGTGTGCACGCGCTAATAAAGTATATAAAAGGGCATCATTATACA